GATTTCTTTCTGGTAGAGAAATAAGCTTGTATTATATCTTTGCCTACATTTTCTCCTATTTGTTGAGTTCTCTATATTGGGAACCCTAATTATTCTTATGCAGGATCATCTTTGTCTTCTCTAAAAGCTTTCATCTTTGTCCCTTATAGGGTATTCATTTATGTGCCTTTATTCATGTCAGTAATTACATTTTCAGCAGTGTCTATTTTACACATGGCTCTTTTGAATAAATTCCATAATAGTGATTGTTCTTATTCATTTCCTTAGATCTATAACTCCTTTTTCAATTTTGTTATTCTATTATCTTCGTTTTTTAAATTGTATTGAACTGGGGCGCCTGGGTAGGCTCAGTCAGTTAAGCATCTGCCTTCTGCTCAGGTGTGATCCCAGGGTCCTGGGATCTAGCTCCGTGTCTGGGTCACTGCTCAGCAGGGAGTCTGCTTCTCCTGCTCACTCTGCCACTTCCCCTTGCTTGTGCTCTCTCTCTCTGTCAAATAAATAAATAAAATCTTTAAAAAGAAGTAAAAAAAATTGTATTGAACTCATGCTTTTAATAAATTGTTTTGTAGCATAAAACATCTGTGAGAATTTTCTTCTGTTCTATGAGCTTTATTTTCTTACTCAGCTACATTCTTTGTCTTTGTGTCTTCTATATGGTATATAATTTCCGTCTTAGTTTAGTTTTGTTTCCCTGTTGTATGTTTGCATGGCTGCCATGTCGTTTCTCTGTTCCACCCATGCCTGATATTATTGGGGTGACTTCTTTGTGTTCCCATTACTGTGGAAGCTCATTTGTTTTCCTGACTCTGCTACAATTTGGGGTTTAAGGTGACTGATATTATCCTTTCTTCTTTAAGGGACTATGAATGTTGGGACAGTGTTCATCTGTGGTAGAATGCACTCTTAATTAGTATCCCTCTTTTTAGTGCATGCTAGTTCTTTTGAGGTATTATTTAAGATCCTCTGCCAGGGACATGTGACATTAGGTGTATGTCTACCCATCCCTTGTGAGGTAATTTGGGCTGTGGACACCTTTTTCAACTCCGATTAGAGCCCCTGATTATTCCCTTCCATCTCAGAGAGTCAGCTCAGTGTCCATTTTTCTCTCCAAAAGTTGTTCCATTTTTCCTCAGGGGAGAAGAAAGGTAGGGGCCTTAATTGAATTTGCTTCCTTTGACATTTGGGGGATTTAGTGAGACATCTCAGGATTGCACTGACTCCACAGTCCTACGTCTAGATGTTAGGAGTGGAAATAAGAACACATTTCTTGTGTATCTTTCCACCTTAATCAAGAATATCCTCTGAAGTTTGAATCTCAAATATACAATCTTCAGCAAGTGCATTTAAAGAAATTCACCTTTTTCTAGTTACCATTGCCAAATGCCTAAGGTTAGTTTACCTATTATCCTTGGCAAATGACTATATAGTTCTATAGCACTGTAGTATTCAGTCTCTGTATCTCACGCATCTGCTTCTCTGTATTGCTACTGCCCTAAAAATGGGAGAATTTGTAAAAAAATTCCTTGGTTTTTTGAAAGAAAGCAATTCCCAGGTTGGGTCCAAGGTAAAAATGGGTCCTTACTAGGTTAGAAACATAGATATTATTACAATTCCTGGTGTGAATGCTCATAGTTTTACTCTTGAAATATTTTGTGCTAATAAATTTTGTGGAATATGTGCCCCCTATTTTAGTTTATTGCTTCTTCTTCTCTAATTTTACTTATAACCATCCCTGCCAACAATCTACATTTCACTGTTAAGCTGTTTATATAATGGGGATTGTAAAGCTTCCTGGTGTTACCTCTGGGCATTTGGCTGAAAGGCATTGCCTCCATTTAACAAGTAAATATATTATAGAAGAAACCCAGAGATTTTTTTACTACTTGGCACCAAAAGTACTGATGCCTCAGTGATAGTGTTCATAAGAAAATATAATTTTTAGGGTAAAAATTTAATTAGAAATTGTCTTTGGAGGGACGCCTGGGTGGCTCAGCAGTTGGGCCCCTGTCTTCGGTTCAGGTTGTGATCCCGGAATCTGGGATCGAGTCCCACATCGGGCTCCCTGCATGGAGCCTGCTTCTCCCTCTGCCTATGTCTCTGCCTCTGTCTCTCACTCTGTGTCTTTCATGAATAAATAAATAAAATCTTTTAAAAAATGAATTGTCTTTGGATAATATGATATTAATGTTTACAAATGCTTTTTTTAAAAAAAAGATTATTTATTTATTCATGAGACAGAGAGAGAGAGAGAGGCAGAGACACAGGAGAAGCAGGCTCCATGCAGGAAGCCTGATGTGGGACTCCATCCCAGGACTTCAGGATCACACCCTGGGCCGAAGGCAGGCGCTCAACTGCTGAGCTACTTCTAGTCCCTACAAGTGCTTTTTTTTTTTTAAAAAAAAAGATTATTTATTTATTTATTCATGAGAGACGGAAAGAGAGAGAGAGAGAGAGGCAGATACAGGCAGAGGGAGAAGCAGGCTCCATGCAGGGAGCCTGCCATGGGACTCGATTCTGGGTCTCCAGGATCAGGCCCTGGGCTGAAGGCGGCGCTAAACCACTGAGCCACCCCCGGCTGCCCCCTACAAGTGCTTTTTTAAAAAAAAGCATAAGATTCACACTAAAAACACATCTCATTGAAAGTGTCTCCATTGAATCCTTCCATTTTAAAAAGTACCTCACTTAGTATCTTTGTTTTCATTCGCTAAATACAAAGCCATTCTTTAATGTTGTCTCCAACTATCCTGACACAGTTTGAGACCCAATGGATAACTCTGACCAGGAAATATCAGTGGGCAGAGGGCAATGCAGTTACAGGGAAAAAAATATTGCAGGACCTTGCCAATGGGGGGAAAAACTTACAAGAATATTAGCAGACTGATAAAGAACCCAAGGGCCAGTCATGTTTCTTGATTTATGTAGTTTGGTATTTATAGACATTCAATAATTATCTTTAAAAACCACATTGGCATGGGATGCCTGGGTGTTCAGTGGTTGAGCATCTGCCTTCAGATCAGGGGGTAATCCCGGGATCCTGGATCTGGGGACTACTTCTCCCTCTGCCTATATCTCTTCCTCTCTCCCCATCTTTCTCATGGATAAATAAAATCTTAAAAAAAAAAAAACCCACATAGGCACGAATACTTATATATACTAAAGGTATATATAAGGCAGCTCCGGTGCCACAGCGGTTTAGCGCCGCCTGCAGCCCAGGGTATGATGCTGGAGACCCTGAATCGAGTCCCACGTCAGGCTCTCTGCGTGGAGCCTGCTTCTCCCTCTGTCTGTCTCTGCCTGTCTCTCTCTGTGTGTGTCTCTATGAATAAATAAATAAAATCTGAAAAAAATTTAAATATATATATATATATATATATATATATATATACACATACACACACACACACACTAAAGGTATATATACTTCTAATGCTAAAGGTGCTGAGGAGGCCAAGTAATTTCCATATTTCTTTCTTTGATGTTTAGAACAGAGCTATGCCTGGAGCAGATATCCAATAAATACTAATTAATAATTATAATGACTGAGCTACTGTATTAGTATAGAATAACTTCAGGGACAAACCCTCCTGGTTTGTCCGATCCTAAGCTTTTTTAATACTTGTATATATGTCACAAGTCAGCATTAGAAACTCTCTGAAGCAAATCATAAGTTATTAATTTGATACATGTTTTAAAGATTACCGTTGGCATCATGAAATAATTCTTCAAGTGTGGGAGGGAAAGCCTATTTTTTTTAAACCCATTTTTTAATCTTAAAACAGTCAAAGCAGGGCAGCCTGGGTGGCTCAGCGGTTTAGCGTCGCCTTCGGCCCGGGGCCTGCTCCTGGACACCCGGGATCGAGTCCCACGTTGGGCTCCCTGCATGGAGCCTGCTTCTCCCTCTGCCTGTGTCTCTGCCTCTCTTTCTCTGTGTCTCTCATGAATAAATAAATAAAATAATAATAATAAAAAAAACCAAAAACAGGGATCCCTGGGTGGCGCAGCGGTTTGGCGCCTGCCTTTGGCCCAGGGCGCGATCCTGGAGATCCGGGATCGAATCCCACGTCGGGCTCCCGGTGCATGGAGCCTGCTTCTCCCTCTGCCTGTGTCTCTGCCTCTCTCTCTCTCTCTCTCTGTGACTATCATAAATGAATAATAAAAAAAAAAAAAAACAGTCAAAGCAGATGTCACCGGTTACGAGTCCAGCTGATCAATAACGTTTCACAATTTGTACAAACACAGGGGAAAGGAGCTTACTTAGCACATCACTCAAACGATCTGTACCAAATTTCCACAGAGCTCAAGTGGGTTTTTAATGAAAAAGTCTAGAAAACTAACTTTTCTTCTTTTGTGAATCAATTTTTTTTTCCAGGGTCAAAGTTTTGGCCATCACAAATAGCATCCTGGATACAGGGACTCACAGGACACTCTCCCTTAGAGTGGTGAGAGGGTTCTCGTGGGTGGCAGGTGCGTTGGGCAATTTCTAAGTAACGAACGCTAGAGTTTCGTGTCATATTATTCTCTTGCCCTAAAAGCATAGAGTTGGTTTCCTTACCCACGGTCTTTTCCGCTCGGGGACACCTGTTTGGTCATCTTTCACTAAGCGAGCGTTTTCCTCGCCTAGGAGGAGAGGGCTGAGCGTGCGCCCTGGGCGTGCATCTCCACGACAGGGTTCCAGCCCCTGACACCTGCCTGCTTTCGGCTTCCGAGGACGCTGCAACAACCCGAGGGGTCCAATCCCTCCGCCCCGCTGGCGCGGAAGGGCCCGGCGCGCGTCGGTTTCACCCCACCCTGCAGCGGCCCTCCGGGAGCTCGCGAGGCCGCCCCCCGCCCCTCCCGTGGGGCCGCCCCCTCCCCCGCGCCCGGCCGCGGCCAGGCGAGGGGGCGGGGCGAGCGCCGTGACGCGCGGAGGCTCCGGCCAATGGGAACGCCCCGCGGCGCCGGCCGAGCCGCCAGCGTATAAAAAGGGAGGCACTGCCGAGCTCTCCAGCCTTCCGCAGTCCCTGGCTGGGAGGGCGTCCCTGGCCGGTCGCCTACTTTCCCCAGGTGATCGTGGTCACAGCCTATTGCCTGCAGCCGCCGGGGCAATTTTGTTGCAGCTCCTGAAGCGTCCCAGAGTCCCTCCGGAGGGGCAGCGGCAGGTCCATGGAGAAAGGTCCGGTGCGGGCGCCGGCGAAGCCGCGGGGCGCCAGGTGCAGTAATGGGTTCCCCGAGGGGGAGCCGCCGCGACCCGGGCCGAGCGGGCCGGCCGACAAGCCGCCGCGGCCGGAGACCAAGAGCGCGCAGCCGGCGGACGGCTGGAAGGGCGAGCGGCCGCGCAGCGAGGAGGATAACGAGCTGAACCTCCCCAACCTGGCGGCCGCCTACTCGTCGATCCTGCGCTCGCTGGGCGAGGACCCCCAGCGGCAGGGACTGCTCAAGACGCCCTGGAGGGCGGCTACGGCCATGCAGTTCTTCACCAAGGGCTACCAGGAGACCATCACAGGTCGGTGCTCCCGCCGCCGCGTGGGCGCGGGCCGCTCCGGCGTGCGGGGCACGGGGTAGGCGGCCGCGGGGGGCGCGCCCCGGCTCCGGGAAGTTTCCGGAGTTGCCTCACTCTTGGCGCCGCTCGGAGCGCTGTCGCCTCCCGAACCCCGCCTTCGGCCCTGGCCCCGCGGTCCCGGCCAGGCGAGGGTCCCGCGCGGGACGCGTTTCGGGCGTCCGCGGCGGCAGCGGCCTCTCCCCCCGGGGCCCGGGGCTCGGGGCCCGGCGCGGCGGTCCGTGCGGGGGCGTCGGGGCCTGCGCGCAGCCCTCCCCAGAGCCCCGGGTCGCCGGGACCACGGGCACGGAGCCACCTGCCGGGTGGGAGGCCGGCGCCCCTTCCGCCTGAGCTTGAAGCGTGAGCCAAACCCAGACTTGCCACTGGCGCTTGTGGATGAGAGGGCTTCCTAGGGTCGTTCTTTCTCTTGAGGCCTCGTTTTTCGGTAGGCGCGCGCGCGCGTGTGTGTGTGTGTGTGTGTGTGTGTGTGTGTGTGTGAGTGTGTGTGAAGCTTTGGCTCCGTCTGCTTGGAGCGCTGGGGGTGATTCTTTGTAGCGAACTCGGGAGACCCGCACACTCACACTGACCGTCCAGGACCCCCGGGTCTTTGGAAAGTTGTCATTCTCTTTTGTCCACTTCAGGTGAACTCCAGCTCGGGACTTTCCCAGGATTTGGCGCTGCTCTAGGCCTGGACTTGCCCGGAGTTTGAGGCGTGAGGTTCCTCTGGGTAGTTTGCGGTCTCAAGTCCCCGCCCCCATTTTAAAAGCCCAAAAGCCCTAAAGTGACTCGCTGGGAGTCGGGGAGGTTCGCTGGGCTCGAATCGGGGTTGGCCCGATGCTGTCCGTGCCCGAGGCGGGTCGGGCGTTCACCCAGAAGCCTGGAGCGCTGTAGGCACGGGGGAGGGAGGATAGGAAATGAAGACTTCGCTGCCTGCTGCGTGAACGGTGCTGGTCTTTACAAACCGGAGCGGGTGGGGTGGGGGTGGGGGGGGGAAGCAAGCTTCTGACTTCTGCAACTGGGACCGAGGACGTAGTTTTCTCGCTTAAGTCTTCCGTGCCTCTTGGTGACATTTATTTATTTGGCCTAAGAAGCCTCTACCTTCATCATTTCTCAAGGAATAGCAGTGCTGCTTTGAGAGGTAACATCCCTGCTCCTGTTATTTTCTTGATGGAGTATGCGGCGACTCTCCCAATAGATCCTGGGAAGAACAAAGTTATTTTTGCCCAGTCTTCCACACCCGAAAGGAAGGGTGGGAAATCAGTGCGAGAGGGGTGGGGCCCCCAAAGGAAACGATACTACATACTAACGCCGAGAAATGGACCTTTAGTTCAGTGTCCAAAGTTCACCTTCTTAACCTCTTGATGGTAAAAAATTCAGAGACTGAAAAGCAGAATTTCAAAATGCAAAGACTAAAGAGTAAACTGTCTTCATTCATTTGGTGAATATTCTATCATTTGGTCATATTCCACGATGTAATGAAGAAACCTCTTTTAGGGCTTTACTCATCCTGCCTCTTGTGGACACTGAAAACAGTCTCCTTTGTAACATTGGTCAGACTTTGGAAATTTTGCCAAAATCACAGAAGAGAGGGATTTCTGACTCCCAGACAGGTCACAAAGTTACCTAAAGTGGCTCACGAAGTTTAAGTAAGCAAATTGTGAGCAAGAGTTTGTCTCATGAGCTATAGGACTAATGAATAAGAAGAACACTTCAGTCTACCTTAGAAACAGTTTTGGTAAAATGTTAATTTATTACTTAAAAAGTCCTTGGACCAGAGACAGAAAGCAGATTTAGGGGTTGCCAGGGCCTGGGGAGGAGGACAGAATGGAGGAGAGTGGCTGCTTATTTGGTTTCCTTTTGGAGTGATGAAAATGTTCTGAAACTAGAGGGTGGTGGTGATGATTGCACAACATTGTGAATGTACTAAATGTCGCTGAATTATACACTTCAAAATGGTTAAAATTTGAATTTTTTTAATGATGACTTTTATGTATATTTTGCCACAGTATAAAAGCCCACAGACCATTTAAGAATTATTACTAGCTGTTAATTGAATACTTTTTATGCCTTAATTGCTTTATGTGGATGGTCTTGGTTAACCCTTATTTTGAGATAAACACTGTTTTTTTAATCCCCATGACAAGGAAACTGAGGCAGAGAGGTTGACAGCTTCAAGTGATAGGGTTGGTGTTTGAATTCAGACAGCCTGAGAGCGGAACTCTTACCTACTTTCTTATGTTGCTATTTTGATATGTCAGTGTATCTTGTCTCTAAGTATTTCAAACTATGAGCCATGATGTAATAGTTGGGTTACCAGCATTAAAAAGAAAAAGAAGATGGAGTAGAATGGAGAAGATCAGTTTATGACATGCAATAAGGGTACAAGTTATGAGCTTCTGTGTAGGTTTTTAGGTATGGCTTTTTGTGTGTACTGGCTCCAGATGTAAATATATTTTTTAGCTGTAGATTGTCATCAAAAGTTTGAAAACCTCTATCTAGGGACTCACACTTAATACCTATGAATTAGAAGTACATAGTTAGGAGAAGACAAGGAGGATGGTACGGAGTTTAAAGGAATTAACCTCAGATGGTGGTGGTCTACACCTTGGGCCAGTCTGGGTGGGAGAAAGAAGGAAGGATATTTTAAATCTGTAGAAAATATGGCAGAGAGTAATAAAACAATCCTTCATAATACCTAATTTTTATTTCTTTAGATAGCATAAGTCAGTGACCACTATAAATTGTTTTGGAAAGAAACAAACTTCTTTGAAACTCTCTTTTCTATGCTTATAACCAAGATACTCTGTATCTTTCATGTCTCAGTATATTAATTCCTGGTTAATGGTGTTAACCATTCAGGGTTGTGAAATGGAAAATAAGTTGGTGCTTTATATTACCCAAATAATTTTTTGTTAATTCTTCCTGAGTGGATTGATGCTAACTTCTGGTATTCTGGGGAATTTGTCGTTTCTCACTTTACTGCCTCTTCTCTCCATGACCCTTGTCTAGTAGTGTACTTTCCAGTGTGTACCTTAACCATGGGTACATCTGTGATCACCGCTGATGGGACTATGTCAGGGTTGTGGGTTGCGCAAGTCTCCTGGTTACTGTTCACCACTGGGCTGGGAGGGAATCCTGAAAGAGACACTACCCCCTCTCCCAGGAACTGGCTCTCCTTTGAATCTGGCATCACATCATGATCTTTGGAGCAGCTCATCTTTCTCTGTTGCTGTCCCATTTCCATTTAAGCACACCCTACATCTCTTATAGATTCTAAGTTGTACCTTGATGAGGTCTTTCTCTCTCTCTCTCTTTCTTCTCTTCTCTCTCTCTTTCTTTCTTTCTTTCTTTCTTTTTTCTTTCTTGACTGATTGATTTTAGAGAGGAGGGTGAAGAGGGACAGCGGGAGGGGAGAAGCAGACTCCCACTGAATGTGGAGCCCAACACAGTATGAGATCTCACGATCCTGAAATCATGACCTGAGCCAAATCAAGAGTCAGACACTTAACTCTCTGAGCCACCAGGCACCCCAATGAGGTCTCCTTTCTAAATAAAGCATCTTTCCTATATTTCCAATATTTTATTCAGAACCTTAATTAAATTGGAAGGTCTACTGTACCCTGAGGTTCTTGGTCTTTTTGTCCCTGTGTCTGACCCTTCCCATTCCCTATCTCCTCCTGGGTATAAATGGGAATAACCTCTTCATTACCATTATCTATCAAAGGTTAAGTGCATATACCTGGTTTCATTAATTGTCCTCTTTATGAGTTTATGGGAACACACAGAGTCCTGACTTTTCTGTCATATCTCTAGTTAAAGTAGGTTTTAGCTTGTCTTATCCAGGATGCATAAAGAATTTTCATAAATCAAGTTGACAATATCCCACATTTTAGGAAATATGTGAGCATGTATATAATGCAGCATGAGGAGATGGTACCACAGATGATGGACTTGCCTTTTTTTTTTTTTTCAAGATTTTATTTATTTATTCATGAGAGAGGCAGAGACATAGGCAGAGGGAGGAGCAGGCTCCCTGTGGGGAACCACGATCCTGGGACTCCGGGATCATGCCCTGAGCCAAAGGCAGATGCTCAACCACTGAGCCAACTAGGGGTCCCAGTGATGAACTTCTTGACTATCTTCTCACAACAGTTGAGGAGTCTTGTCCCTGCCTCAGTCATTTTCATTGCAAGATGATATCTATCCTTTAAAGATAACACAAGATACCACACCCGGGTGGCTCAGTTGGTTAAGACTCCAACCCTTGGTTTTTGGCTCAGGTCATGAGATCACCTGTGTGGGGCTCTGCACTGGGCGTGGAGCCTGCTTAAGATTCTCTCCCTCTGCGACCTCTCCCCGCCTCCATGCAGGCACTGTCTCAGTCAATCAATCAATCACAAGGTTATTAGATACTTTGCTATACAGAAGTGAGTCTTAGCCACTTCATACTGAAAGGTGCTAGCACTCACAAAAGGTTTTTTTTTCCTTTTTGAATCACAAATCTTTGTGATTTGCCAAATGAATACTTTTGTAGAACTTAGTTCTGTTTATTGTTAGAAAGAGTACTATGAATAAAGAAGAAAAAATAATGAGGCTGTTGAAGTATATGACTGGAATCTGGGAATAGTCAAAGCTGATTAAAGTTGTTAAGAAGTCATGAGAATGGAGGAGAAAAGCTTATCTTAATGGTTTCTCTTATTTTTTAAATGATTTTTAAAAGATTTATTTATTTGAGAGAGTGTGAATGAGGGGAAGGGGCAGAGGGAGAGAATCTCAAGCAGACTCCCTACTGAATGTGGAGCCCATCTTGGGGCTCCATCTCAGGATGCTTGAGATCAAGCATCAGATACTTAACCTGAGTGGAAACCTGAGTGGAAACCAAGAGTCAGACACTTAACCAACTGAGGCACCCAGGCATCCTCTAATGTTTTCTTTTAAAACTATATTATCTATAAATAGTTTTCCTG